TTTAAAAAAAAAAAAAAAAAAAAAGAGAGAACAGCCAGATGTGGAAGGTAGGGGTCTCGTGAGGGAGTGAGCCAACGAGTGAAGAAAAAAGAAAAGGGCGGCTGGTTTCAAGGGCGTCAAAAACGAAAAACCGTAGGCAGTTTCAATCGGTTACAGGCCGAAGAATTTTATTTTTTATTATTATTATTATTATTAATTTTTTTTATAGACGGCGTGCAGACAGGGAAGATACTCTTCGTGGCGTTTTTTTTTATAGACGGCGTGCAGACAGGGAAGATACTCTTCGTGGCGTTTTTTTTTATAGACGGCGTGCAGACAGGGAAGACACTCTTCGTGGCGCAGGAGGGGTGGGGGGAAACAGGGCTACGGATGGCTACAATGAGGTCCACTTGTAGCGTTTTGAAAGCAACAGAGAAAACGAAAAACGAAGCAAACGAACCGCCCTAACAAGTGGCGGGTGCGACATCAAAGGTGTGCGACGCAGCAGCATGGCCATATACTGACTGAATGGATACTCAAGGCTGCCCCCCTGCATTTATTCACCTCGAGCGAGTTTCCGGTTGACGCCATCCTTCCTTTCAGTATTATGCCCTGAGTAACCTCGCTCCACCACCTCATCCCGCGCCTCCCACGAATTGAATCTGGGATGTGAAAACATTTCGTCGGAGGGCGGGGTGAGGACTCGCCCCGCCGAACTCTATTCACCATGCTGCTGCGTCGCACACCTTTGATGTCGCACCCGCCACTTGTTAGGGCGGTTCGTTTGCTTCGTTTTTCGTTTCTCTATTGCTCCACCCTGGGCTGAAAAGGCCACCGTTGTCAGATTAGACACAGGAGTGAATTTACCTGGGCTGGTTAGTCCGATGATAATACCTCAAGGCCATCCATTGCCCTTTTAAAAAAAAAAAAAAAAGAGTTGTGGAAGTGCAGACCTTCGGTACTTCCTCCCTTTTTTTTTCTTTTTTTTTTTTTTCTTAATAAAAGCCCATCTTATTGTAGAGGCTAGATAACGGGCATATGTGCGAGTCACCTTCGGCACTCGGCCATGTGGTAGAGGCCCCCCTAGAGGCTCTCCACACAGGCTGTCGAATGTGGAAAATTTTTGACAGTCCGGCGGTCGACAATTCCCCCCCCCTTCGCCCCCCCTTCGCCACACAGGCTGTGGAGGGGCAAGGTTTTTGGTCATGGCCAGGCGGACCAGTTTCACGGAAGTTGACGGAACAGTCCCTGACAATGCAAATTCGAATGCAATTTTCGAAAGGTCGGCGGGCCACTGTCGAATTTCCATCACCTGCAGGCTGCAGTGGACGAAACGGTTGCTGGAGGGCGGCTGTCGAAAAGACCATTCTGACACCTTTTTGAGCCGCAATTCTTCGAAAGTCTGTGTTGCGATGGAAAATTGTCGAAGACCAGGTTTTCGACAGCCTGTGTGGTGAGCCTCCTGGTCGTCAGAGCACGTTGGGGCGAGCAACACTGAAGTGTGTGGAGGACTCACCCCGAAACTCTCTTCACCAGCCTGCACTGCAGTGCAGTACCTGCAGCGGTGAATTTTTTATTTTACTTCTTTTTTTTTTTCAAACCAGAGAATGCACTTCTTTAGCAATAAAAAGAAAGAGGCAGGGGCCAAGTCCCACTAGCATCGATTAAAACGGTGGAACAGGGTTGTGTGACGCGCTTTGGGCATTTGAAAAATGGTTTCTGTATTTTTTTCGGATTTAAAAATCTTGCTTTCTACGAGCTAAAGAAAGTGAAATTCAGGTGAGGGTACTCGCATCAGCCAGTAGGCTGTGAGCCATCGCATTCGTCGCCCCTTTTTCTGGATGAGAGTTTGACTCAGCCAATGGGCTGGGTCCTCTGAAGGTAGTTGCTCTCCGGCCACTATGATATTGTGTATTTCTGCACATTAAAAAAAACAAAAGAATGAGGGCGGGAAGCTTCAAAAACACCCCATGGGTAAAAAAGCCATAGGTTCTGAATTGAAGCTTCCCGCCCAACGAAAGTGGCCAACAAAAACAACACCAAAATAATTTAAAATCATCCTATTAGCCGAACGAAACGACCCTACACGAAACTGAGGCCAAACAACGCTGGGCATGGATCTGCAGCCGATCGGCGACTGAGACCTGTCACAGAACGTCCCACGTCGTCGAAAACCTTGTCGCGAAGCGTAACTCTTCGCTAGTCGGACTTGGCCCCAGGGAATCCCGCGACAAACAACCCGGGGCTAGGTCCCACTTACATGAATTAAGCGATACTGACCGTAGATAGCAAAGATCAACGGCCAGAATCTCTTAATCCGTGCAAGTGGGACCTTGCCCCCGGAAAGGTAACGTACTGGAACCATCACCCAGCTTTGGTGCAGGCATTTGGGGGCGGGGGGAGAAGACCAGGAACCAGAAATGGCCACATACAGACCGCTGGCCTGTGAGCGTTGAAAATTGTGGAAGTGCGGACCTGTGTGTGAGTGCACCTCCTTATCCTCTTCTTCTTCTTCTTCTTCTTTTTTTTTTTTTACTTTTTTTTTTTTTTTTTAATTACTTGTCATTCTTTTTTTCCTTATTCTTTCTTATTTTAAAAATTGGACCATTTCTCGATTTATGCGTGTCATCCTTACAGAGCACGTTCGGGGTGAGTGTGTGGAGCGGAGAAGCGGCCTACAGTCTTCCCCGAATACAACGTACGGTCATTATAGCTGAATAGACCGAAACGTACAACAAACAGATATAATGACCGTACGTTGTATTCGGGGGAATAAGGTTTTTATTTATTTATTTGGGAAACAATGTGAAATCTTTTTTTTTTTTTTTTTTTCAAAAATCAAAGGAACCAGGAGTTTCCCCGGAGCATCAGCCTGTTTAGCTTATGCAAGTACGGACAACAAGCCTCTAACAGATATCCACAGCTCTCACATCTCTCCTCATCTTCTTTACTACACTGCACTGAACAATTTAACAACTCTCCTCGTTATCTCTCTTCTTACCTACCCTACCGTCGTCCCCCGAACACAACGCACCCTTATTTTGGCTGTTTCTGGCGGGCAATATAGCTTGTATACATTCATTTTTAGGGTGCGTTATGTTCGGGGGAAGACGGTAGCCTATCCTACCCTATACACACACCTGTACTCACCGATCTGGCACACGGCCCAGCGCGGCCCAGAGGAACATTGTTCCTTTGGTGTCTACTGACACTCTCCTGGGCCGAGGTCCCACTCGCAAAAAGGATAGGATCGAGCGCCTGAATCTGGATGTGTTTTAAGCAGAGATGCAGAAAAGCAGTTCAATCTCGATTTCCTGCACATCTCCATAAACTCGTCCAGATTCAGGCATTCGATCCTATCCTCTTTGCTAGTGGGACCAACCCTTGGCGTCCAACCATGACGGCCGACTGGAACCGAGTACCCCTGGTAAACCGAGTGCGCCTGGTTCTTACAGCAAACAACCTAGTACTCGATAGAGCTAATATCTACCCTACAGGTAAATAAATGAATGAGCCTTGAAATGAAAAAAAAAAAGAGAAAAAGAAAAAAAAGATTTGGCACGAATTAGGATGGTGAAAGGTTGTGACTGGGGGTCAGTGGTGTTATAGTACAAGGTGAAGTATCTGGGAATTGCCTGAACAGTTCAACAGTGGGTTAGTACACAATCTGCAGAAGATGGCCTGCTGGTGTAACATCAGACTTCAGGGCTCCGCATTGGGATCCCGGCCCCGACACCGACCCCAACCCGCCCCGCCCCGACCTGAGCCCGACCCCGAGCCCGACCCCAACCCGACTCCGACCCAGACCCCGAACCTCACCCTGGCTTAGAGTAGAAGATCCCCGCTGGCTCATGGTTTACTCTATAAATTTCAGCCCGTGATATAGTAGTCTTCTGAGGCTGGAGTAAGGGCGAGTTCTCACAAGCAAGGAGGATTGGATTGAACGGCCGAATATGGACGTATAGAATGCACAGATGCAGAAAAGCAGTTGGGTCGCGATTTTGTGCACTTGTCAACAAACAAGGGCAAATTCAGGCGTTAAATGCAATCCTCTTTGCTGGTGGGACCTCGCCCTAACAAAGACTCGGAGGAGCAACGACATACATTGTAGTAGTTGGTTTCATTTCGTTTTGTTTTGCTACCGCCGGCCAAGTATTTTGTTTTGCTGTGCTTAAGATTGCACCAAGGGGATAAACGTTGCAACGACTGAGATGGCTTCTACGTAAATATCTTCTCCCTCTCCCTCTCTGCCTACTCTTTTACGTGGCAGCTCTGTTCGACGATACATGGTAGGATGTCATTTCTTTTCAGTTGTGTAATACATGCATGAAATGAACGGAATTTGCTCAAAAAAAATAAAAAATAAAATAAAAAATAAAAAAAATCAACGCGGATTTATCCCGGCAGCATCAGCGGGTTTAGCTTCTGAGTCTCTCAGCCCAAAGCTCTACCTCCCTCTGAATTTTCCAAGTTGGGTATTTTGCTCTTCACTTCATAAAGGTAAAAAACATTACCTTTTTTTTTTTTTTTTTTTTTTTTCAATGCAACGAGTACCAATGTGTTCTTTCAAAAGAAAAAAACATTACCTACTACTGTAGGTCTAGTTCAGGGCAGCCGTCGGAGTTGGCCGTTCTGTACCTAGACTAGTTTGACAAATTTCAAGAGTGGCGTGGCGATGCCCTAAAATTCCCAACGCCTAAGTAATGCTCCCCGGGGCGAGGTCCCACAAGCAGGTTTGAGTTTCCTCAACGCCCGAATCTGGACCTGTTTGTGGAGATGTGCAGAACATAGCGTTGAGTTTCCTCAACGGCACATCTCCACAAACACGTCCAGATTCGGACGTTGAGGGAACTCAACGCTGCTGGTGGGACTTGGCCCCCGGGTTGTTTGTGGAGGGATTCCCAGACCCCCCCTTGGTGTGGAGTATAATGAGAGTTTTCCTTGTAAGAAAAAAAAAAAAAGAAAAAAGAAAGAAAAAAAGAGTCTGTGGAGCGGTTACGCTTCTGGGACAATACTGGACGGCCGGGTGGGGTGGGGGTGGGGTGGGCTGGGGCTGGGGGTTTGAATAGCGAGGCCCAATGGGAGACGTATGTGACAGACGGATTCGCCATGACGGAACTGCCAGGACACGTCAATGTGGGCAAAGCTCGTATGAACGGTCTTTGCCGGGCTGTCACACGTCTGGCCCACCCATCTTCCCTGGGGTGCCCTCATTATTTTACTAAGCTATGCTATACTATGATGTAAGCCGCTCATACACCCCCCCCCCCCTCTCCTCAAAGGCTGCTGACATTGAAGGAGGAAAAGAGAAACGTGAAAGAGAAAAAGCCCAGACCATTTCCACCCCACCTTCTCCAACCTCCCCCGTCCCCCCCGACCACCCTCTCTCTCTCCCTCTTGCCACGATCGCCGGGAAGCGGGAGGAGGGGCTACTGGAGAGAGAGTATATATACATTGCTCACTGCTCATTGAGTGTGTCATTCGCGGCAGATCGGCTGTCATTGTAATTGAAGCCGCTCACTCGATCGGCCGTCATTCTAATTGAAATCACTCTCTCGATTCGATCGGGAGCGTTCTCGGTCGCCGTCGGTCGCCCTCGATCGTCCTCGGTCGTTCGTTAGGAGGGCCAGTGTTCGTAAGCGGACGTGTAGCATAGCAATTCTGTTCTGGGGGAACAATTCGGTGTCGTAGGCGGAAGCATTAAAACACTTCATCGTCAGTTCAGCTCAGATACTTGCATGTGCATGGTTGTACCGTCGTCGTCAATATCGGAGGTGTTTAACGCTTCTGCTGTTAATTAGTGCTTCTCACGTATAGTACTAAGTAGTAGTAGTGGCTGCCGTCGTGAGCACAGGGCAGCGCAGCGTGCCGCACTGCACTACACCGTCGGGCTCATTGTTTCCATTCAATTACCCTCGCCGTCTGCCTAGCGGGCGGCGGATTAGTCAATAGTCTTGTTACTTATCGTGTCGACCTTGTCGGCGCTGACTGGTGCACTTCTTCGAACGCGATCACTACTCCGTCTCATTAGTTGAGGTGTTGTGGCGCTGCCGATCGGGCGGCGTGGCAATGGCGGAGACAGGGAATGGAGGAGTGTCGTTGACTGTGGAGGTGATTCCTCATCAAGAGTCTTACAGAGATCTGCACACCCCAGTGAGGGCGAAGAGCGTGGAGGAATTGCACGCGCTTCAGAAATCGCAGTCGTTTAAGGCCCCCGCGCCCCAGGTATTCCAGTCGATCAGCACCTCGCTGGCATCCGTGTCTCACGAGCCCCACGGTCCCCACGTGGCCAAAGGGAAGGGGGCCAAGGATGTGATCCACCACCTGCGGCCCATTCTCAGCGACAGCGATTTGACGGTGAGTCAAGTGCTGTACAACTTGTCGCCGGCGGAGCTGTACGAGGAGGCGATCAAGTATGAGAGCGGGTCGTATATCACCTCGACGGGAGCGCTGGCGACGTTGTCCGGCGCGAAGACCGGTCGCTCGCCGAAGGATAAGCGTGTGGTGAAGGAGAGTGAGACCGGCGACGACCTCTGGTGGGGCGAGGGCTCTCCCAACATCGAGATGGACGAGGAGACCTTCTTGATTAATCGTGAGAGAGCAGTCGATTACCTCAACTGTCTCGACAAAGTGTACGTCAACGACCAGTTCCTTAATTGGGACACGAAAAACAGAATTAAGGTGCGCATTATCACCGCGAGGGCTTATCACTCACTTTTCATGTATAACATGTGCATACGTCCGACTCAGGAGGAGCTGGAGGACTTCGGCACTCCCGATTTCACCATCTATAACGCCGGTAAGTTCCCTTGCAATCGTTTCACTCACTACATGACGTCGGCGACTAGCGTCGACATCCATTTGAAGCGGAGAGAGATGGTCATTTTGGGCTCGCAGTACGCGGGGGAGATGAAGAAGGGTTTGTTCGGCTTGATGAACTACTTGATGCCAAAGCGCGGGATCTTGTCGCTGCACTCGGGCTGCAACGTGTCCAAGGACGGCCAGGTGTCGTTGTTCTTCGGGCTGTCGGGGACCGGAAAGACAACGTTGTCCACCGATAAGCATCGCTACCTGATTGGAGACGATGAGCACTGCTGGAGCGATGACGGTGTGTCGAACATCGAGGGCGGGTGCTACGCCAAGTGCATCGATCTTTCGCAGGAGAAGGAGCCAGACATCTGGAACGCAATCCGCTTCGGCACGGTGCTGGAGAACGTGGTGTTTGACGACCACACCAGGGTCGTGGATTTTACCGACAAGTCTGTCACGGAGAACACGCGCGCTTCGTATCCGATCTACCACATCGAGAATGCCAAGATTCCCTGCGTCGGTCCTCATCCCAACAACGTCATATTGCTGACCTGTGATGCTTTCGGCGTGCTGCCTCCCGTGAGCAAGCTCACGCTGGCGCAGACGATGTATCACTTCATGAGCGGGTACACGGCATTGGTCGCCGGGACAGAGGAGGGAGTGAAGGAGCCCAAGGCCACGTTCTCCGCGTGTTTCGGCGCGGCGTTCATCATGTGGCACCCGGCCAAGTACGCAGCGATGCTGGCGGACAAGATGCAGAAGCACGGGGCGACCGCGTGGCTCGTCAACACCGGCTGGGTGGCCGGCAGCTATGGCGTCGGGTACAGAATGAAGCTGTCTCAGACGCGCAAGATCATCGATGCCATCCACGATGGATCGCTGCTGAAGGCCAAGTACACCACCACGGATGTCTTCAATCTTGCCGTTCCCGACCACGTGGACGGTGTGCCTGACGAGGTGCTGATGCCACAGAACATGTGGGCGGACAAGGAGCTGTTCGACACGACGCTGAGGAGGGTGGGGGGACTCTTCAAGGGCAACTTCAAGAAATTCGAGGATTATACTGTGGGTGGCGATTCCAAACTCACCCAGCAGATTCTCTCCGCCGGTCCGCAGCTGTAGCAGCTGCGCGAAACCGCTATCCACCAGTAGATTCTCTCCGCCGGTCCGCAGCTGTAGCAGCTGTGCGAAACCGCTATCCACCTCTTCTTCGTTCTTATTAAATCTCACTTCGTCAGGAATATTCCGTGAGCAGCAGTAGATTCTGAGTTCGCGTTTTTCAATAGAGTCCCGGAGTGGTCGGGTCCGCGGGCGGCCGTTGTGTGCGAAATAGTGGTGCTCACAACGGGTTTGTTGCGTAATCTTTGGGTGGTTAATGGTGGCTGAAGATGGCCCCCAGCGGTCGGTCTCTTTGACGGATGTCCTGCAGTTGGCACTGGCATCCGCAATTTCACGGCGAAGACTTAACGTTTATTTCCCCGTATCTATGGACATCTGTTAAAGCGTGCACATGACACACACACACACACACACACACACACACACACACACACACACACACACACACACACACACGCACGCACACACACTCACAAACACACGCACACGCGAACACACATACACGCACACATACCAGTCTCGCGCGCGCACGCACACACACACAAACCCACCCTCTCTCTCTCTCACACACACACACACACGCACGCACGCACCCTCTCTCTCNTCTCTCTCTCTCTCTCTCTCTCTCTCTCTCTCTCTCTCTCTCTCTCTCTCTCTCTCTCTCTCTCTCTCTCTCTCTTTTCTCCCCCCGGGGCGCGCGCAGAGAGAGAGACAAGAAGAGGACGAGCGCCCGCACAGACAGACGTGTGCTTTTGTTTTTTAATCAATCAATCTATCATACGGTCATGAAATCAGTCGAGCAACCTTCTGTTCTTAATTCCTCCACCCGTTCCCAGAAAATCTGAGGATGTTTTTCCGGAATCCTGTCCAAATGGCTATGTAAGAACTGGGATCTGTCTAGGTTTCTGTGTTCTGCGATCGGCTTCGATTTTGTCTGTGTTAGGAGTGCGTCTTTTGTCAGTATAGTCATCTAGTTTCGGGTTGAAATGGTCATTACCATGAGGTAGTCGGTGATTGCCGCCACGAGAGTAGTTACCAGTCAGTCGTTACCGCCGTGGGAATGGTCGTTTTTCCCTCGAGTAACTGGTATCTGAGTCATGTACGCTTGTTTTGTCTGACAGTGTCTTAAAGGTCCGTGTCTTCTCAGTATAGTCTTCTTTTTTCGGGTTGAAGCGCTCAGTGCCATGAGGTAGGTGGTGATTGCCTTCGAGTAGTGAGTCGTTGCTGCGATGGGAAGAGTCGTTCATTTCCACGAGAATAACCCGTGATTGCTTGAGAGGAGCGGGTGATTGCCGTGAGAATAAGCCTGTAGTTTGTTGACTGGTTCGTCTGGATAGTTTCAATTGCAGGCCGATTTGCATTGATGAGTGGATCGGTAATTTTGGTGAATTAACTAAGTTAAATTTAATCGGTGTGTGGTTTTTGATTGGCCTTCATGTCGTTGGTATGCACCTTTTTGTGACGCTGGAACCTGTTTTCATCAGATTCTTACGGGTGGAATTGTTCTTTGTTCTTTTTTTTGTTTTGGTTGTTTGTTTGTTTGTTACGGGTGGAATTGTGAAAGCTTCACGGCGTGGGAATTATATTTTATACGTGCATAATTAAGTCTTAGGTAGAAGGCTCCCTGTTGGAAAATAAAGACGAAACAAAAGAAACAGGCATTCTTTGTCGTCCAGCATCCTCGTTCGATTGTTTTTTTTTTTTATTATAAATAATTATTTAATTGTTTTTATAATTAGTATTTATTTTTTTTAATTTGTTTTTTACTCGTTCGGTTTCTTGAGCTGTGTCTGCACAGTCAAATTTTGTCGGAATTTCAAATTCCGACAACTGATCAGAAGCTGGTACAAACGTTGGGGATGGGAAGGAAAAGGGTGGGTCCTGATAGTTGAGAAGGCCGCCTTTTTATTCCTTTTTTTTTCTTCATTTCTTTATTTCTTTTCGAGTGCTGTATGCCACTTATCGTCTCCTCTATCGACTGTTGCTGGTCCTGACTCTCCAGCGGAATGAAAAGTATTAGATGACATATATGTCTAGTTTGAGTTCGTTATGGTTGTCGTGTTTTGGAGTTCAGTGGGGTCGCGTTTCGAGCCTTGTCGGACGTAAAACCAGACGCCAGGGCCGGATGGGCATTATCATCGAGCGACCGGCAGTTGTATGCACTTGCGGAATTGGGTACACTCCCCCATCGTCCTTGTCGAGGCTGACTAGGTGTTTATACCTATTTGAGCTCGTTATTGTTGCCTCGTTCGTGGCTTCAGTACGTTTGCATTGCCCTGTCGGACCTAAAACCAGACGCTAGTGGGGATGGGCATTATCCTCGAGCATCCGGGAGTTGCATGCACTTGTGGAATTGGGTACTCGGTCGTCGGTCGTCGAGGCTGATCGAGATTAGGAGTCTTTCACGGTTGGCTTCGAGCATTACGTGAATACCTTTGAGAATCTTGTCTTCAGTAGGTACTAGGAAGTTAGGTATAGATTTTCATGTCTGCTGTAGCTTCAGGATTTAATCAGCTTAAGGCAGGGAGTTAAGTCTTTGCTTAATCTGGGGAACATGTGACGAAAATTTACGTTTTTTATCTAAAGACGGCGGATGTCGGGAGAGTCTTTGTGAGCGGTGGTACTGAAAGGGAAGGCGGTTAATAGTGCATCTCCAGAACGGAATGACGCTGTGTGAGGAATTTCCAATGAAGAAGCAGAGGGTGTAAAAGCTCGAGTACGGCGTCATTTGAATTGCTGCGGAATGATCATTCAACGTATCTGGCGAATGGCAATGAAGAAGCAGAAAGTGTAAAAGCTCGAGTACGGCGTCATTTGAGTTGCTGCGGAATGATCATTCAACGTATCTGGCGAATGGTTTTCCTCTTATCTTTTGTCTTTGAATGTCTTCCAGTACGGCGTCAGTTGAGATGTTAAGGAGAGTTCTCAGGCTGACAAAAGCGAAAAACTATTTTTGGTAGAGTAATTATGTTCTACGTTCACGTGCGGTTTTTCTGATTGGCCTTTTGCTAATCATTGCCACTGATCTGTCTCAGTTTGTTGCTGCGGAATGATCATTCAACGTATCTGGCGAATGGTTTTCCTCTTATCTTTTTTGTTAGAATGTCTTCCAATCCATTACAGGGCACGTGCACACTGCGGTACCAAATCCGCATAATCCCCAACCCCCAAAGATAAAAAGCAGTTGGAGTGGCACTGTGGCAGTTACACCCAGTTCTTATTTTCGCGTGCTAATCAACTTCCAAAAAATGATAGAAAATTCTTAAACGAAAAGCGAAAAAGAACACATGAGAAAAAAAAAAAAGAAAAAAAAAAAGAACAGATGGGTGAGGGAAAAAGGCTGTGCCCCGTGTAACTGGCTTCCTCCGAAGTGTGATTGGCGTACACCCAAGCTCCACACCGGTAAGCTGCCTCGACCGAGGACCGGGAAATGGGAGCTCTTGTGTGACTGGCCTCCTCCTCCCAAGCTCCACACCGGTTGAGCTGCCTCGGCCGGGAAATGGGAGGCCCCTTGTGTGACTGGCCTCCTCCTTCCAAGCTCCACGCCGGGTGAGCTGCCTCGACCGGGAAAGAGGTTTGGGGACATCACCACCAGTATTTCCCCGAATCAGGCCTCGACTATGTTTTGAGAGTATGCGGATTTGCTACCAAAGTGTGAGCGTGCCCACAGTTCACTCGTGCAAATCTTCTCCCCGATTTTCAGTGATGTGCATACGTGGAAATTGACATCTGCGAAGTGCATGCATGCATGTGCACACGTTTGCATGTAACTTCACGTGCTGCACGCAGGTCTTATGCGGATTTGCTACTAAGTGTGAGAGTGCCCACAGTTTCGCTCACGTAAACTTTCTGGCCACTTTTTTCTAGGGATGCGCACACGTGGAGTGATATCTGCGATATGCATGCATGCGTACACGTTTGCACGCACGTGCACGTATCCATGCAACTGCACGTCGTGTGCATGTTCCTACACGCAGTGTAGTGGTCTGCACGCATGCATGCATGTGCACGCGCGGAGATTCTAATTTGCTAGTTGCATGCACGTGCACGTGTGCAAGCATGTGCGCACGTGGAGATGCAAATCTGCCAGTTGCGTGCATGCGGACAGGTGCGCATCTGCATGCTCATACCAGCTTAGTCGTCCCATCTTTGACGATTACTGTAGGGGAATGTCTCCCTCTCCGTGCGGAGCTGCATGGTTCCCTGAATTGAAGTGCAACTACGTTGGAGTAGAACTAACCATCCCAATCTAATCTGAGTTTGGGATAAAAAACGAGTAATGAATCTTTTTTTGAGGTTAAACTACGCGGGAGTCACAAAAACGAGTTATCACTGCAGTATGGGCCAAGATACAGTTTGCAATTGCAGTTCTGGCAACGTATACAACCCAGCTTTCTGGCCAGGTGTAGGGTGCCCGAAGTGGAATTGCAGACTGTATCTTGGCTGATGGTGCAATTATAACTCGTTTCTGTGACTCCCTTAGTTACCCCTGTTTTCGATGCTAACAGTTGGCAGCCACGAGGCTGTGCTTGCCCCAAGTGCAATCGCAAACTGTATCTTGGCCCATGGCGTGGTTAACTCATGACATGGTGTCTTGACTGTCTAACATTCGAAATGCATCTAGATCTGGTAATGAGCCCTACACAAAATTCTGTTTACGGGCTAAAAGTTAAATATAATTCAGATTTTTTTTTAATTTTTAAGGGTGGCCTGGTTCAACTCACGACATGGGCCCTTAACTGCGTCACCACATTCGAAATGCGTCTACATCTGGCAATGCTCGGGGTACAAAATTAAATCTGCGTCACCACATTCGAAATGCGTCTACATCTGGCAATGCTCGGGGTACAAAATTAAATCTGTGTCCTAACTGGACGGAGTAAAGATCTCATCCTCAGATCACGCTGAACTGTTCTCCAGATTACAGTTTCGTCGTTTCTTTTCTTTTTTTTATTAATTTATTATTATTATTATTATTATTATTGTTATTATTTTATGTGGCCCGATGGACCACGAATCAGATATTGAACTGATCAGAACAGATACTACAAGTGATCTTAGCCAAAAGGCCGAGAAAGGTATAGGCTTGGACCCCACTGGCCGGTGGCGTGGAAGTCATTTTCCATTTCCGAAGTCATTTTCCATTTCTATGTTTACGGGACCCCACTGGACCGCCAGGAAGGTGTGCCAATGCGAATTCGGGACCCCACTGCCAATGCCGGACTGTCGTGGAAAACCGTCGGAAGCGTTTCCACACGGTCGGCTGGAAGAAACTGTCAGACTGTTCGGGGACTGTTTTCCAAAACCAATGTTTTTTGAGAGGGGGGGGGCATCCCTAAAGATGCCGTTCTAGGGCACGGGCGGCCTGGTCCAGTGCACGATGGGGTGGACCGTTTCTTCAGAGCACGGACAACAGTGGTGCGTCGCACCGTTCGGGTGTGGGACCGTTCCGTTCTGCGGGTGCATTTTGGGAATGGCAGTCCTTTTCCACAAGCCGGCGAGGCCGTGGCGGTGGGGCCTCGAGTTCTTCTGGAAATGTTTTTCCAGACGGCATTGGCCGTCTTCCGCGGCCAACCATTTTTTCCAACCGCCGAGCAGTGGGGTCCAAGCCATAGGGCCTCGCCGCACGGCACAACTAACGAAACGAAATGACCACCAGAGTCGTGAGGCCTCGCGAAGCCCTGATCTGCCGTTTCGCTTCGTTTTTCGCCTCACCGCCCCACAGCACACATGAAACCTCTCGCGACAACGCCCTGGCGAGAGTAATGCGGGATTCGTTTAGCTACGGTCCAAATTTGTGGACACTACAGTCCAAGTTCTTGGATGGACTTCGGTTGGAGCTATGCAGCACACTCGTGAGATTTCGCACCTACGGGTTTGCTAGGGCTGCAGGCAGGGAGGAGTTGGCACACTCGTGAGGCCTTGCGAGCTTCGAGGCTGACAGCATTCACAAGTTTTTTCTGACACAGTTCGTGTGGGTGCTGTGGGGCGACGACTTCACAAAACGAAGTCGTTTTTTTCTTCGTTTCTTGCACCGTGCGGCAAGGCCCATAGTTTCCTTTTTTTTTTTTTTTTTCATAAAGGGCGACGGCCTTGAGATATTATCATTGAGCTGACCGGCCCCAAGCAATTCATTAATAGTTGGTTTTACAACTTTTACTCGTCAAGTTCCATCGTCTGGATTCGAACACAGGTCTGTATTTCAACAATTCATGGGTGTACCCACTGAGCTAGGCTCTTGGGTAAGCCATAGTTTCTTCGTTTCCGCCGCGCACTGGTTTACCGTTTCTTAATCCATTTCTTAATGGAAGACGGCCTTTTTTCTGTTGCTGTCAGGTTTACACTGACGCCATGGTAATGTCTTAGTGCGTTTTGGGGCCTCGTTCCACTATGCAACGATGTACATGCATTTGGACGTGTTTCTCGACCAGGTGCAATCGGAGGAGTAACCGTCTATAGGTAGGTTACGTGATCCTCATTTCGGTGCTGTCAGGCAGATGCCCATTTCCCTTTTCGGTCCCCTCAGGCAGATTCCCTTTTTTTTTTAGTGCTGTAAGGCAGCTCGTTCGTCCTGCACCGTTGGAATACAGTACAGTAGGGTCGCAGGGGCCGAGTCCTACCTGCCGTAGTAGCGGTGAGTTTCCTCGACGCCCGAATCTGGACTTGTTTTGTGGAGCGGTGAGTTTCGTCGACGCCCGAATCTGGACGTGTTTGTGGAGAATGTGCGGTTGAGCAAACTCGACGCCATTTCCTGCATGTCTCCACGAACACGTTGGCTCCACAGTCGGCCGTTGAGCAAACTGCTCAACGCTGCTGTTACTACGGTAGTAGTAGTGGGAATTGGCTCATGTGTTGTCATTGCACCCCTGTCCTCATAGACAACATGTCCGTGCCATCCCATCTGAAAATATTAATATTACGGCCACAGTGTGAGCACGCTAAGAAATGCGCGAAACATAAACTAACCCCCCCCAAGTGGGGCAGATGGCCCCTGGAAAAAAAGAGAAAGTGCAGTATCACTTGCTTCTGTGTTGTTGGGAAAGGAAGGAGTCCGTTCCCGGCTGGCAGGCCGTGCTCCTCTCTCACCTGGCAGGGCACCCTGCCCTTCATATGTTTCGCCTTTCTTTTTAACGCCCAGTACTCTACTAGCACGGTTGGTCGAAGCCGAACTGCTTGCCTTGTCTGTGCACATCCTACATGTAGGGTCTCTCTCCCTCCACTACAGATTTTTGGAGAGTTTGTGTATAGCTGTCAGAGTGAAAAAAAAACGTATATACAACTCTCCAATTTGTCTCCACAAACTGGTTGTATAGTGGACAGTAGTGGAGGGGTATACAATCTCCAATTCGACTCCGAAATGGGGTTTATAGTGGACAATAGTGGGCGCACGTGGATAGTGCAAAACGACGAGCGGTCAGATTTGTCGGTCCGGACTCTAGGTCCACCATCCAAAAATTCTCCAATTCGTCTCCAAAATGTGGTTGTATAGCGGACGGTGGTGGAGCGGCATGGTCCAGACTCGAGGTTCACCATCCGAAAATCTCCAATTCGTCTCCGAAATGTGGTTGTATAGCGGACGGTAGTGGAGCGGTATACAACTCTCCTATTCGACTCAAAAATGGGGTTTATAATGGTGGTCCAGACTCGAGGTTCACCATCCAAAAATCTCCAATTCGTCTCCGAAATGTGGTTGTATAGCGGACAGTAGTGGAGGGGTATACAACTCTCCAATTCGACTCCAAAATGGGGTTTATAATGGACGATAGTGGGCGCACGTGGATAGTGCAAAACA